TGTTGTCTTTTTGAGACAGGGTCTCACGATGCAATTCAGGCTGGCCTTGAGCTCACTTTGTAGCCCAGGTTGGTCCTGAACTCACAACGATCCTCCTGCCTCAGCCTCCCAAGTGCTGGGATTACAGGCATGTACCACCACGCCTGGTGTGTTCTTTCCATGTACCCCTGTTATGTGACTCATCTCACTACTGGATTAATATTAGCTAAGTGGCTATACTTGTGATCCTACAGGCTGATTGTAGTTTGACTGACATTGCACTTGTGTTGTGACTTTGCTGGACAAATTACTCCTGACAAAGGGCCTCAGTGACCACACACTTGGGACCCCTCCTAGAAATCCAGGAGCAATTTATTCTCCTCCTTATTTCCAATAAAACTTGCCTAACTCCCTCCTTTGGTTTGGGACTTCATTCCTTGATGTTGAGAGACCATGAACTCAGCGCATTTGACATCTAACAGGTCGGGAGCTATATCTTTCCTATAACATTGACACACAAGACTAAGTGGGTGATTTACACACTGAATCTCTAATATGATGGCAGGAGGTGTTTATGTCACCCTCCCCCGAGGAACAGGAGAAAGCCAGGAGCACTTGGTGTACATCCCCTAGGGCAGTGCGTCTGGGCAGAGGGGTAGCTCTGGGGAGGGGCAGGGGTCCTGGGGGCTAAAGCACGGTGGGTGCAGGGCACACCAAGTCGGGCAGGGGAAGTGGCTGGCAGGTCCCGCTGGTCAGCTCTGAGCAAGTTTCGTGACTGGTTCTGGCAAGGTTCTGGTGGGAGCCTTCGGACTTCTATGGCGGGGAGGACTCCAGGGAGATGAGCGCACATGCGCAGAGGTCAGGGTGCTACAGGACACCACAGGTACATGACAGGAAGTCTGCCGGAGGGAGCGGCGCGAGGTGCAGGGCCAGTGAGCACAGCGCCAGACTCCGAGGGCCCAGGTCCTGTTCAGCACATTGCTTCTTTTTTTTTTTTTTTTTGACAGAGCCGTGAGCACAGGGACCCGGCACTCTCAGCGCAGCCGGGCCACCACGGCCTGAGGCGGGGTCTCGGGCCGGGGCGGGGCTTCACCCGCGGTCGCCCAGGCAGTCCCGGCCGCGCTGGCTCCCGAGCCGGCCCCCAGCGGGGACACTCGAGTCTCCAACACCGGGGTGGGGGCTGGCGTGCTGGAGTCGGGTCGGGTGGGAAGCGGCGGGGAGCCTCTCCTGTCCCCCCACTTTCTCCACGTCCCCTCCCGCCGCCTCCCGTCGCCCCTCGGCGTCTCGCACGCCCTGTCCTGCCCTTCCCCAGTGTCCTGTCCCCGCGCTCTGTGCCGGGCGCGCACCGCAGCCCCCGCCCCCGCCCCCGCCTCCATCCTCCTCCGCCCTCCACCCCCTGCCCGCGCCCTTCCTCCTGCGTCCGCTCCGCACACTCACCCCGACGCCCTCCCGGAGCGGCAGCGGGTGCAGCCGCGCTACCCTCCGCCGCCCCGGCATGTCCTGGGCCGCGCTCCTCGGCCT